ATTGGCTTTACATGAGAGTCATTGTTAGGAGGGATCCACCGAGTTATGATCTTTGGCTTTTCTTGTTTTAGAGGAGGATCTGGAGGTTTTAGTTGATCGCTCTTTGGTTTAATCAAAATAGACTCTAAAACTGGTTCTTGGTCTGGTGCAACCTTTTTCTTTGAACCAATCAATAATTTCTCAGGTTTAGGTTGAGAAACATCAGTTTTCAAGCTTTGCTCAAACATCTTCAACCTCAAAAAACTCCTCTGGTGAAGCATTTTCCATCTTCACTAGCTACAGCTCTGGAGAGACGAGATACAACAGTATCAGGATTCGAAAAATACCTGATAAGATATAAGAATGATTCAACTCCTAAAACTTGAGAAAAGAAAAAATTTATAAAACAAGTATTTTCAGCTTACCTCTGCTCTCTATGGAAACCGATCTTGAAATCCCACGATACATCAATCTCATCACGGTATGAAATCAAAATATTTACTTTGAACAAATGTTGTGTGGAATATAACTCTGAAGATCATCTCTCCCCTTATCAAAATAGAGTTCATTCCAAATGCCTACAAAGATAAAAACAAATTAGAGTTCGAAACAAAAACATCCATACCAAAATATGGTATGCAAACTTAATGCATTGACAAGAAATAGATAGAGCATAGGTTTATAAGATCCAAGTAATTTTGTAATTAACTATAAAAGCAAATAACCTGACTAAGCCTACTTTAAGGCAACTAATATATCCGAACTTATAAATAAAAACAAAAGTTGAGGAATCCTTTTTACAAAAATTAACTAATCTATCACATCATTCCATACACTTTCTATCTAATCTTTCAATACGTGTTTTGAGATATTTAGTTTTAACGACTTTATACGTCTTATTTCATATTCTTTTTAATATAATAATTCAGTTTTATTAAAAATAGATAAACTATAAATAAAGATTACAACACAATAGTAAACTAAAACATATATACAAATATATTTTTTATAATAAATGATACAAGAAATTGGTTACTTAATATCACACAAAGATCATATAATGAAAATATTAAAAATATAATCAAATAAAGACGAAAAAAAGATTGACACGAACACATCTGATTGCAACAATAAATGAACCACAAAAAGAGGATCAATATATTAAAAGATTACTAACAAACCGTAAATTAGAATCGAGTAACATGAGAAAATTATCCACGAACTTAAGTTGTGTAATCAAATCCAATATGAGACTCCAAAGCAAGGAATATCAACATGATAACAAATGAGTGTCATCTTGACCAGTCGTGATGTTAGAGTATTGAGTTGAAACTAATTTCGTTAATTAGATAGAGTTTAGTTAGTTTGTTAGTAGCATATTATTAAAGGCTATATAAGTCGATTAAATATTGGGTTAAGAAAATAAGTCTTTGTATTTCTATTTAATTTAGAAATAAATTTCAATTTTTTTTTGTTATCTCCACCAAACAATAATTATAGATTTCACTCTTCATTAACTGATGTCGTTCGATAACCTCCAGTCACTGTGTTGGAGTTACAAGATTTCTCATATGGTATCAGAGCTAAAAGATCCTGACGTTATTTTTCTTTTCTTCTGTTACTGCAGCGTTGATTGACGATTGGATTTCTTTCTCTCACATTATTACTATTCCACTATCGTTGTTGCTACTCCAAAGTTTGTAGATCCTATCGATCTCTGATTTTATTCTTGTATTCCAATTTTCACGTCGTTAATGGTGTTTCCTTAGCCATCAAGAGTCCTCAATCGCTTCAGTTTCCATTTTTCCTACTGTTGTTTCTGCCTCATTGGTTCAGAGTGTTTTAGATTAATTTGGTTGTTATTTCAACCTCTTCGCCTCTATATTTTCTTCCATTTTGATTCAACGTCGAATGATTTTTCTCTCTTGCAATTGATTTCATCTATTATCATGTCAACAAATGCTTCATATGTGATTGATTCAGTGTCAATTTTCTTTCATTCGTTATGTATTTCATCACTGGTATTTTGTTTTTTCTCTCTTCTCTTGTGGTTGCATGTTACGATTCAATGGATATTGGAGGATCAGTTAAATACTGTTGTTTTCTTCATCCACGATTGTCATCGATCTGAAATTATCGTTCGGTTCTATCAGAATATTTTCTGCCTCTCCCGTCATTCGTATTTGTTTCATTTGCTTTGGTTTATTGATGATTTGTTCTCATATTGTTTGACAAAATGCCTGAGTGACACTTGGTCTATAGCCTGCTGAGATTTATTGTCATCATCGCTGCTGTTATCTTCATGGTTTGATTGTTCCTAGAGAAATTTGGAGAGATTTGAACTTGTTCGTTCTTGATACTCATTTGGCACTTATTTGAGTATTGTTGGCATGATTTGGTATGCTTTTTTGGTCATGGTTGAATTGAGATCCTTTGTTCATCACTAGTGTTTAGTGTTGATTGTTGACATATGTTGCTATTCATATTGTTGTGACAGGTTGTTGTTGATTTGGTTCTAAATTGATGTTCTTGAATGTTGGCCACGAGCACTACATGGTTTTGGTTATTTGTTCGGTTAAATTCCATTTTTAATTCTTTAGCGTTTAACAACTTTTCCCTCTTTAACCAGGAAAATATGATGTTTTCTTATTCAAGAAAGGCTTCAGATTGCATTCGGAAGTTTGTAGCTTAACCACCTTGCTTCTAACAAAAAGAAAGTATGAATAAGTGTATAAGAAGTATAATGAGATAAAAAAGATTATGAAGAAAAAGAAGAAAGTTGTATGAAGAATATTTTGGAGTATCAAGTAAGAATAAAGAAAATGTTTAAGTTTTGTTCGAGGTACCAACATAATAAAGCAGCTCATCCTTGAGCCTTTCTAAAGTAACTAGGTACAACATACTAAAGCATCTCATCCTTGTACCTTTCTAAAGAAGCTCACTATTTTTTTTAAATTTCGAGATGTTCAAGAAAATAGTGTGAATGTTAGAGTATTGAGTTGAAACTAATTTCGTTAATTAGTTAGAGTTTAGTTAGTTTGTTAGCAGCCTACTATTAAGGGCTAAATAAGTCGATTGAATATTGGGCTAAGAAAATAAGTTTTGTAATCCACTTCTATTCAATTTAGTAATAAACTTCATTTGTTTTTGTTATCACAACCAAGCAATAGTTTCCAGTTTCATTCTTCACTGACTGATGCCATTCGGTAGCCTCCAACCACCGTGCCGAAGTTACAAGATTTCTCACGATGTCAAATCCAGCCCTGAAAAAAAAAAGATAAATGAAAATAACAATCAAACGACAAAAAAGTACCAAAAAGTAGAGGAAATATGTCATAAATGTAGAGGAAAACGTACCATAAAAATAAAATTATAAAAAATTAAAAAAAATAGAGATGCAACATACTAAAATAAAAAGAATAATGAACACCAACTATCAGTGACTAATACAAAACTAGTGCTACCACCGTTTAGAAAAAGAAAAAAAAAAGACTAACGGCTAAAAAAATTCCCTTTCATATTCTTTTAATCATACAAACACCATCTTCATATGTAGAGGTTGTAAACGGGTTATTCGATTCGGGTTTAGATCGAGTCATTTAGGGTCTATATTATATTCGGTTTAATTTTATTCGGGTCGGATTAGGTATGGTTCAGATTTGGTTTGGGTGTATGGTAAATTGGATCGGGTCGAGTCAATTTTTGGGTTGGTGACTATCAGATCAATTGTTTTTCGGTTCGGATCAATATCATATCGATTATTTTTTGTTCGGGTTAATACCATATATGTTAGATTTTGGGTTGGATCGATTGATTTTCGATTTGGTCAACCTTTGGATAAGGTCAATTCGGATTGAATTGGTTATGACTCTAATCAAGTATATATAAAATTATTGATATATTCTTGTAAAAATATGTTTTCATTTGTTAATTTTATCATTTATACTTAATTTGGTTATAATTCTAATCAAGTATATATAGATTTTCGGTTCAGATTGCTTTCGATATAGATTAATTTGGATCAGGTTATAGTCAGTTCGGGTTGCTTTCGATTGGCTTAATTTCAGTTCAGATTATTTTCGATTCGAGTCAAATTAGATATGTGTCCATATTGGGTCAGCTAAATTTTAGATCGGGTATGGTTCTAGTTTCAGATTAAATTTGATCATCATATTCGGATTAATATCGGGTATCGAACCGAATAAATCGATTCAAGTAATCGTGTTTGGGTCAAATTTGCCAGATCTATCTTCATATATACGTTGAATTCATTAGGTATTGATAAATATGATATATATTACATGATACTTTTTTTCCCGAAAAATATCAAATGATAACTATTTTATGTATTAGCAGAGTAAAATAAATACTTTACAAGCGAGGTTGTATTGTTTTAATTTTATATTTTAATTCTTTTTTTTATTTTAAATAAGACACATAATAATATTAAAATTTTATTTATAAATATTTGTTTTTACTGTCAGTATATAAGATAATAAATATTTTGTATTGTATTGTTCGATTTAAATTATAATTATCGAATTTGTTGATGGTTATTGAACTTGTATATCCTAAAAAAACATGCTATGCTTTAAAAGGTACTTTTATGACATTGTCCTTGTGCATTATGTAGGCTAGGATTATATACAAACAAATTATTCCATACGTAAATAAACACTGGTCTAATTAATATTCCCACCTCTCCACTTCATAAAAATTTGTAAGTTAGTCCATCTACTCTAATTTATCAGAATTTAGTCCTCATACTTTATGAAAACTTCTCAAGAGATGTTAGTTTCGTTATTAGTAAATATTTCAATAGTTTTTTTCTTCTGTTAATTTGTTATATATAATTTGAGTTACTAGTTTTTACTAACAATGAGTGGTGAAATTTAATTAAAAAAAATCAAAGGTTGTGGCAAATTTCAATATTCACCTATAGCATGGTGGTAAATTTGCACTTAAAACCCAATTTTATATCAAATCCAATATTCAGAAAATATGCATTAGAAGTCCTTATGTTTGATTAATGGTCCAAATGATACTGGGAAGATTCTATTTCGGTCAACATTCTTATCAAATGGAAAAAAATGCTTTCAACACCCTGCAAATAATCGGAAATTGGTAGATTTTTCTTCCCAAAGCTACTACATCAATGAGTAGCCCTTGCTTGCTATACAGATTCTTTATCGAGCATTTCAGCAACAGTCCTGCAACGACACTGGTTACCAGGCCGGATTACGTCCCCGCAAACAGCCATTTCGATAATGTCAAGCTCCTTATCTATCAAGTTGCAAAAACCAGATTTCACTACAGGAAAATACTTTCAAAACTTAGATTATATATTTTACAGAGAGATGGGAAACCACTATGTACTGTAAAAAGTTATTCCAAGATAGAAACAGAGGATGGGTTATTCAGAAGCCAAGGCAAACCGGATGGTTAACAAGAATGAGGCCATAGATGGTTTGGATCAAAATAAATTAACTAGTCTGATCAGTGATCAATGCTAATATCGACCCCGAAAACAAAAAATCATAAAGCACAAAGTACCATGTACTGTTATAGCAACCAATGAGGGAGGTCGAACTACTTGTTATTCAATGGTTCGTTGGGTAAATATGTTTCTGAGTACCACATATGGGTTTGTATCCAACATGGGTATGTTCAATTTTTTTTTCTTTCTAAATTTTCCATTTATTTGGAGGATCATGTCTGCATACCCCATGTCCGAATACGTCCTTGAAACAAGTTACTCCAAGAAAAGCAAAAGGATGGAGAAAAATGAACTTTAACATCATGCAGCTAAGCTTTACTAAGAACAAACTGATGGAGCCGAAGTTTCAATTGTTAGATCTCTACATAGGCTATCTAGAAGACTAAAATTGAGTCATCAAGAAGTTCTCAACTGGCTGATACGACTTAAATCTTCGATTCTCCTATTGAAATATATATACCTAGCTTGTTATACTAGGATGAAATATGATCTTGCTAGTACGCTTTCCCTGTCCTATATCTATATCATGGTCATATTTCGCCGTCAATCTTCCATTTAAAATCAATCCTTAGAATGTTGAAAACATAAGTAAATAGGTATTATCTCTAAACTTTAAGCTATAGCAACTGAACAGATAGGCTAACAGGGATTTGAAATTGATCTAATTCCGACTAACAAAGTGAATCGAAATGGCAAGTTAGAAGTCTACAAGACCCTTGGCAAACCATGAAAATATATAACTAACAATGTAGCACAGCAACAAACCGGTAAACTGGACCTCACAAGAAAAACCTTTCAATCTAGTAGCATCAACATCTTCTTTGTCTGATTTATACCTATTCACCCGGGTTTGAAGAATTTGACAAATTTCAGCTGTGGACTCTCAACCTTTAGAACACATAATCAGAACACAAGAAACTGTAAATCGCACCGATAACCGATAGCTGCACTTGAAACATATAGTTATTTGCAATCAAATGAATCTCTTTCAAGCATAATTATAAACAAAAGTGCTACAATTTTAAAAGTTTCTAAATAATCCAATGGGTTTCTTTTTCTTAGAGTATAATTTAAACTTCACTAAGCTAATGTATCAGATTAGTATCACTTCACTTAAGCATTCATCTATGTTTTCTCAGGCAAAAAGACTAAATTTTCAAAATTCATTCTTAGTTTCAACACCATTTCTCAAAGAAGAAGAAAATCCCATTATGAAGTAAACTAAGCTGAAACTAACACTATCCACACAAAACCCATTTCAGCATGGATCTAAATCAGGTAAAATTTAATTAATTCATAAGAAAGAAACAAAGGAAGGACCACCCGATTACTGGAAAAGTGGAATCGGAAAATGGGGTTTATGTGAAAGAGACCTTTGGAAAAAGGAAAGATATGGTCGTACTCGGAACAGAGGCAACCTTGGCAATTACAGAAACGCTTGCAGACAGTGTTGCCGGCGGCGTCTTTCAGCCATCTAACCGGATGACGGCCGGGAACTACTTCTGCATTAGCCCAACACCTGCTCTTTGCTTTTGAGTCGAAGAATCTTGGCCTATCTTCCTCTCCATTATTACTGCGAGAACGACGAGGCGAAGAAGAAGTCATACTTTCCCTTATTGATTCTCTCGAGTTTCAATTCTCGCCGTTTTAAGCTCTCGCAAATAGGGATGACAAATGACGGCGGGCTGCAGATACCTTTCATTTATTTTTTTTAAATTCAGATACTCTTTTTTTTTAATCTCATTCTCACTTAATATTTTTTTTATTCACCATCTACTGCGACTAAATTTATAAATCTACGCCCACTAAGTATATGTTAAAAATAAATATCCATACTTATCATCTAATTATTATACCGATCAATTTGAGATAGAAGAAACGATATATTTCAATTTTTAAAATATTTATATCATAATATTTGATTAAAATACATGACATATCCTATAAAATTTTAATATTTATAAAATAATCTTTGGAATTATACTTATTTTATAATGATCCAAAATTTATATGGTGAATAGTTAGTGAACGGATGGATGTGATGCAAGCGGATGCAGTGAGAGTAAGTTTTAAACTTTTATCTATACACTACTCATGACAGATATAACTTTTTACATCCACATTCGCCTATTATTTACTAAATTTATAGTCGTTTCAGCTCTAATTAACGTGAGTACATTACAAAATTCATTAAATTATATATGTCTATTATCCCTACTCGCAAATCACATTGGAATTATTTTTTTGACATATAATGTTTTGGCTAAATTACAAGTTTGTATAGCTGTTTATTTTAGTAATTAAGGTTTTAAAAGTTATATTTTAATTACTAAAATTATCAAAATAAAATAAAAAAATCATTTTTGGTTAATTCTTGTTGAACTGATGATATGTCATGTCAAAAAAACTGATTAATATCTACTTTAACTTTTAAAAGCAATTAAAGCATCAATGAACATTAATAAAAATTGAACCTTAACAATTTTAAAAATAAAATCTTCCACAACTAACCCATCATCGTCAGCTAAGTCCGCAAATGAGACAAACAAATAAGTTATTCGAGATTAATTCGGTCAAAGCTCAATAAATACTCGATTTGAATAAACTTTACTCGAGTTCTAACGAGCCGAAATTAACTACTTGATTTAAAAAGCTCGCGAACAACTAAAAAAATAACATATTTAAATTTTATTTTTTAAAAAATAAATTGATAGTGCTATTAACATTTATGTGTTTATTTTTAAAAAAAAAATTATGTATTATAAGGTTTTCATGTACTTAAAGTTTATGTTGGAGTTTGAGTTTGAGGTTCAACCGAGTTAAGTTTAAGAATTTATTTTATTTTGAGCTTTCTCGAGCCTTTTCAAACTTCAATTCATGACTTCAAGTTTTAGTCAAACTTAAAAAATTTAAACTTACAAGTTTTTAAGCGTTTTTAAATTTTATTTTAAAGTTTTTGAATATAATCAAACTCAATAATACTCAAATTCGACTCGGATACCCAACACCTAAGGATCATTTTGTTATATAGTGAGAGGGAAACAATTAACTCCATTGGGTCCAATACGAGGGCCGTGAAATTTGCTAATATTGTAAGGTGGCGTTTGGTTCGCTGGAATGTTTATGAGGGAATTGGAATCTGTGAATGAATTGGAATATGTAGGAATTGGAATCTAATTCCATATTCTGTTTGGTTGGCAGGAAATGGAATTGGAATCCAATTTCATATTTTGTTTGGTTCGTAGACATGTCAGATGAATTTGATTTCAGTAATGTAAAATGACAGAATTGTCTTTCTTGTTTTTTTGCTTTATTTTAGTTTATTTTACAACTTACATGTAGTAATATATTATAAAAATTAAAAAAAAATATTAAATTTTCATTTTATTGATTAATTATTCATTTCAATAAATTATAAAAATCATGCTAATAAAAGTTAAAATCATCGCAATCAAAATATGTTAATAAGTTACCAAAAGATATAGCAATATTTCTATACATTCCAATCGGAGTATGTTAATTAGTTACCAAAAAAATATACCAAAAACTATTTTTATTCAATATATGAATTAGAAACCCGACACGACTCAAAATAATAAAAAAAATATTTTTATTCAATAAAAACATTGACTTAATTGAAAAAAAATATATATAAAGGAGTATTATTGTAATTATTCCTAAATATATAAGGTAAAATTATATATTTTTTTCGGGACGGTCCGGTTTTTTTCACCCTAAACCCGAACCCGACTCGACTCGAATATCACACTTAAAAAACCCGACCCGAACAAAATAAAGTTTCACCCGACCCAACCCGAATATATGAATTAGAAATCCGACCCGACCCGACTCGAAATAATAAAAAATTATTTTTATTTAATAAAAACAATGACTTAATTGAAAAAAATATATATAGAGGGGTATTATTGTAATTATTCCTAAATATATAAGGTAAAAATATATATTTTCGGGTTGGTCCGGTTTTTTCACCCTAAACCCGAACTCGACCCGACCCGACTCGACCCGAATATATGAATTAGAAATCCGACCCGACCTGAAATAATAAAAAATTATTTTTATTTAATAAAAACAGTGACTTAATTGGAAAAAAATATATATATATGGGTATTATTGTAATTATTCCTAAATATATAAGGTAAAATTATATATATTTTCGGGTCGATCTGGTTTTTTTCACCCTAAACCCGAACCCGACCCGACCTGACCCGAATATCACACTTAAAAAAACCCGACCCGACCCGACCCAACCAAAATAAAGTTTCACCCGACCCGACCCGACCCGAATATATGAATTAGAAACCCGACTCGACCCAAAATAATAAAAAATATTTGTATTCAATATATGAATAAGTTACCAAAAGATTGATGAGGGTAGTAGTATGGTCAAATTTCAATTCCCTCCAACAAGGGAATTGAATTCCATCCATTTTTTTAATGGAATTCACTTTCCCTCATTTGATGGAATTGAATTCCATCAGGAATTCCAATTCCCTTGAAAAACTTGAACCAAACATGGGAAAGTGGTTGAATTGGATTCCAATTCCCACTAATTCCAAGGGATTCCATCCAACCAAACGCCACCACCTAAGACTATTTTAATTGTTTTATTTAGAATGGAATTAAATTCAATTTGATTTTAAAAAATCACACTTTTTAATTTGACTCGTTTATGAAAATTAATTTATTTTGATTTGACTCCAAATTTCATAAATTTGAATTAAAATAAAAACTTTTAAATAAAGTTTGAGTTATAAAATAAAACTCGAAAAATTTGAATAACTCAAAAAATTTAATAATTAGTATATTAATATTTTGATTAATTCCTCATTCATACATGAACTATACCCAATTCTCTATTTCATACATAATGTTTAAAAATTTTCGATTTCATACATGATGTTTTCTACCGTTAATAGGTTCACTTATTTCCGTCACAGAATGTGATGTGATACTTTAAATGGGTTCCATGTTGCACGTGGCATTCCCGTCACCCATTTATGAAGTTCCACGTGGCATTTTGTTAAGAGTTCCACGTCACCTTCTGTGACGGAGATGGGTGAACATGTTAACGATATAAAACATTATGTATGAAATCGAGAATTTTTAAACATTATGTATGAAACTGATAATTGGGTATACTTCATGTATGAATGGGGTAATTAACCCTTAATTTTTAAATTCGAGTTAAATTCATTTATTTTGCATTAAGAACACACACACACATATATAAATCGTATAGATTAGAATCAATAAATATCAAAATATTATAATATTTACAGTTAAATTTAATGTTTATTACCATAATTGTTTGTGCAAGTTACTAGATTCATATAGTTTTTAGGATAAACTAAGCATTTAGTACCTAAAGTTTCACATTTAGTACTTGAACTTTCAATTTTTACAAAATCATATCTTACGTTTGATTTTTGTTCTATTTTAGTACCTAGTTATTAAAAAATTAACAGACGGGGTGACGTGGAATTATTGTTTCGTTTCTGAGTTTTCAAGCATGTTTTATATTTCACATCAGCATCTCATGCAAAAATGTGGAATATAAATAGGCTTATTTAAAGGATGAAACCCTAAAATCTAAAAGGGTTTCTTATTCTTCTTTCTTCTACAACAATGAAGACATCGATGGGGGCAACAAGTGGGGAAGAAAACACAGAATGGAGAATAACTTTTTTTTATCCATGTGGTTGTCAAGCTAAGTTGAGAACATCTTGGACAAGAGCTAATCCAGGTAGAAGGTTTCTTGGGTGCCCAAACTTTGGGAAAACAGTGGAAAATGTTGTTTCTTCAAGTGGTTTGATGCGAAATGTAACACCTCCGACCCGTACCCGACCAGGGTACGAATATAAGGTGTCATATTGACTTTTCAAACGCTTTGACTCTTTTAAAATATGACTAAAACTTGACAAGGAAAGCAAAACTTAATAAAAATAGTTAAAATACATATAAGAGCATCTACACTTTAAACATTTATGGTACATGCCAATAAAATTTTCCAATAATAACATCACATACTATAACATACCAAACTATGAGTTAATGACTAAATTGTAAAAATTTCAAAATTTGGTGATTAAAATAAAAATAGTTGAATAGTTCAAGAATTTATTTAGAGATATTTGATGAAGGGTTGTTAGTAATTATTAAAGGAAAGAAAGGGCAAAATGGTCATTTGACTTGGAAATGATAAGATGATATATGTATGGGGGGATAAGATAAGGAGAAATTTTCTCCACTTCTTCTTCATCTTCTTTCTTCTTCTTCAACGTGAATCACCCCAAGCAAATGTGAGTTTTCTGATTTCTTGATTGTTTGTTGATTTTAAGTATGGGTTTTGTTCCTTAAGTGATACTTAAGCTTAAGGAAAGCTTAAGTTGTCTTAAAATCAAAAGATGAAGAAGTTATGAAAGATTAAAGAGAATGGGTTTTAAGTGAATTTCTGGAAAAGAGTTGATAAGATGAATTTGAAACTAAATTTGACTTGTCATCAACTTAATTAAGAGATATGAAGTGACAGAATTAGATTTAGAGTATCTTAAAAATTTGGTATGATTATTGATTTTCATATGAAAGATGGAATTTTGAGGTTAAGGGTGTATTGAATGAGTAGAAATTAGTTTAAGTATATGTACTTGAGTTAAGAATAGAA